GCTCTGTTCCTCCCCCACCCACCCCCACAACCTTACCCACACTCAGAGGCAACAGCCTGACGGCCGTCTCCACAGCAGAGGCCTCAGAGAATCTGCAGCTTGCTCTAAGGTCGGCTCAATATTGAGAAATCGTTGAGGATCTTGTTGCTATTTTGGATTGAAAAGAGCTCCATTTTTCTACGGTACCACCAAAGTGCCGCTCTTTCAGGAACAAACTCATTGTGGTCCTTGGTTTACCTTTAATGGTAGAGTCAGTACTGCTGGTCATTCCCTCACACACACAGTCAGAAACAAATACAGGACACCACAAGCTGCCATGGTGCTCTGATGGCTCACATATCTGCCATGACTGTATAATGTAATGCCATGTTATGTCATGACAAGTCACGGCCACGTCATCATGTGGCTGACCAGCTGTTTGGGGCTGACAAGTGACAAAGGGTTTGATCTTTGTTACGCAAGAGTTTCTGTTATTTTCTACATGTACAATCAGGTGCAGCACTGTGAATAACTTCAGGAGAGACTGCTCTGCTGCTGTTGTCCTTGTGTTTTAATGACCTTGCACCTCCTTCACAGACTTCACTCATTGGATGGAGCATAAAGACAGCTTTACCCCTGTCTCTTCCCGTCAGGGAGCTTTAAGCTCCCGACACTTCCTCAGCAGACTAACACGGGGGTTTTCACTTGTGGCTTTACCTGGAAACTCATTCCTCTACTTTTAGAAGGTGATGGTGGGCTTGTTAAAGCCCTGAGGAGTGAACGGAGCCTTTAGGAATCTTGTTAACAGTGTGTTAAGAAGGAGGGAATACTTTACTATCACGTTAGCCCTGGCGGGAGACAGGAGGAGAGGGAGGGGAGCAAACGAAGAGGAGAAGACCAGTCCTTCAGCCAATCTGGGCAGAAGGTGTTTCAGCTGGAATTTAAATTGTCCATCTTACAGAGGTCAGTCCAGCTGTGTACATGGGCAACAGAAAGCTTGTGTTTTACTGATGCTGCCTTAACAAGCATATTTTTATACTTCATGTCCATTTTCCTGTGCTTTACGTGTGTGACTATACCATCAATGACGTGCCTGAACACCTCCTGTGTAAACACAGATGGTGCATCAGAGCTGCTCTATGCTCATGCTACTATTGTACTCCTTATACAGACAGCATGCTCAGTGTTCATTATGGGCCTACTACTACCACCACTACTAGTAGTATTTAGTCAAGATGTTCCTCCTGTTCTCATCTTTTCTCCTTTCCTTTACTGTGTCCTGAAGCAGCCCCCTATACTGAGTTTAGGAGAAAGGAGATCAGCTCCAAGGGGATCTTAAAAAAACAGGAACAAAACAGGCGCCAGCCCCGACGCTCCTCCAGTTACAGAGCCCTAGACTATGTTCATTTAAAGGGAGGCCATAAAAAAAGAGAATACAAAGAACGTGGCTGTACATAGTGCAGAGATGTACAGATTCCACTCTGCAGACAATACATGTGTGTAGGTGGGAGTCACTGCAAACGGCTGTTATGGCTTCTGTCAAACAGCTGCCAACAACTGAATCCACTATGTCTTAATATGCTGTCTCCCAAAAAAAGCTCTGCTCCTATGCACCTAAACTCATGTACGTTTTTCATTCTGAAAGAAATGTATTTTCTCGCCAAAAGGCTTCCAGTGTGACGG